CTTATCACAATCACCAACTAACGTCTCGTGATCACTTTCATCGTCGATTTCTTCGGGCCTTGTAGGTACGTTTTCTACTTGCTTTTCCTTTTTCTGCTCCAATTCATTTAATCTCAACTTGTTAACGGCATCCACTTCAACTGACTTTTGATAATAGGTGAACGGCTTATACTCATTTTTTTCAATTCCCGTTCCATCTTGCTGGCAGAGTTTGAGACCATACTTTCTATCCGAATTATCGCTTTTTGCATGTTTCGGGACAGCTGGGGGTTTCTTTTCAACCTCTATTTCCTTATTTTTGTCCTCTTTGACTCCAATTCTCTCCTCATAGCATGGGACAACTGGATATGTTCCATTAGCGTCACCCATATCTGCAGGCAGGTATGTTCCATCAGCGTTATTCATATCTGCAGTCTTTTGATAATTAACGAATGCATTATTATCATCCCTTTCGATACCAATTCCATTTTGATTACAGTATCTACGGTTGGCGGGTCTGGGGTTTTCAAGTTCCTTTGGCCTGAGCATCCAATTTTCCAACGGTTCCATATATCCGTCGATTAAACTTTCTAGGCCGATTTCAGCATCAGCGTTACTGACCTCGGTTGCCACCTCCGGAGCAAAATATAGGTCAATTATTTTAACAGTTGGGTCATTTTCGTACTGTAAAGGTGGTGGGGGAACCTTCGGGCTTGGAGCTACTGAGACCATTGGAGGTGCAAGCGGTGGACTTTTTCTTTTCATCCTCTTCTTAGTTGGGGTCAATTGGGTATACGGGAGCATGTATATAACTTCTTTTTGGTCGTTCCCATCCTCCAGACCACGTTTCAGATAAATATGCTCTAAATTTCTGCAAAAAGTTCCAGGGCTTGTGGGTCACCTATATTATGATTACCAATAGTTCGGTCAACCATTGCTCGAACTTCTGTGGCTTGTTCTTCGGTAAGTGTGTCATACAATTCTAGACATTCCAGTAACGTTCTGTTCATTTCAGGGCATATACTAACTTGATGTCCTTTTCTACTACAATAGGTGCATCGTATTGCTTGTTGCAGGCTTCTTCGGCTTTGTCCATCTTTTTGGAGGTTTCTATGGGCTTGCTGTGGTCGGGACTCTTTCGGTTGGTTGTGGGTGTTCTTTTTCAGACGTTGGCATGATTTGGTTTGATCTATGGCTGGTATTTGATTTTGTGATATTATCGAAGGTCATAACTCAGAGCTGGTGATTAAAGTTCATTTCACAGTGCTGGCCGGAAGGGAAGTTCCAATCTCACAGTTACCACCAAATGTGACAGTATAAATCGGTATAATTACTAAAAACTAAGCTAACTAGGGTCGCTACTACACTAAAATCCAACACAAATACTACTAAATCTACAAAATCCTTCCTCTATACCCTAGCTGGTAGGCTTCGATTGAGGCATGGAAGACTTGGTCCGAGTAACTAGGGTCAATTAAGCTTTAGACTATGTCACGAATTTCTTTATACAGAATCACGGGATTTGGTCACGAATTCCAATAGTAATTACGGATTTCACTTATCGGGGGGGATTAGTAGAACAAATGCTTCTACTTAAAGGACTCACTACTCACAAGTTAAATACTCTAATTTCTTTAACTTGGAACTTGAACTCCACTGAGTTCTTCTTTATTTTCAGCAATATAATTGTGCTTTAAATACATTTTACACAGTATTAATTAACTACGAACTTTTCTGCCGTTACGACCATATAAGACCTATATGATCTATATGACCTATCTGACCTATCTGCTCTATCTGACCTATCTGCTCTATTTGACCTATCTGCTCTATCTGACCTATCTGCTCTATCTGACCTATCTGCTCTTTTTGGCAGATTTGGCAGTTTTTAACCCATTTGGGTTAGATCGATCTGAACCACTTCGGCATTGAGCTGAATGATTTTTCCCTCTCACAACGTGCGTAACCTGTCGATTAATCATCTGAGGTGCATAAGACATAATCTGACGCAAAGATCATCTTTAAAATCAATAAAAGTTTTTCAAAGTTAATAAAAGTTTTCAACAAAAATGTAATACGTCATTAGAAACGAAAGTATTTGAATAGCCTTTTGGTTTTAGTCTTACCTTCTCTTTCTTTGAGCTTGGCTTGTTTTACCTTGAACATTGCTTATATTTCCCCTTGATTTTTTTATGAACGTTAGCTTTACATATTCGTATTCGACATTGGCTTTAGTCACATTCGACATTGGCATTCGACATTGGCTTTAGTCACATTCGACGTTAACTATACATTCAACATTAACCTTGTGCTTGGTTCTTGGCGCCCACTAATTTCTTCCTTCACTTTCAATATTGACTTTGGCTTAGTTCTTTGGCGCCTACTAATTTCTTCTTTCACATTCAAAGTAGTTTAATCCTTATTATTTGATCTTAATGCTGTATTCACTTCTTGATCTCAACACTGTCTCCTTTCAAATGTTGGCTTTGTTCTTTGGCACTGTTTGATTTTATTTTTCTTTGCCTTTTGGCACTACTTTATTTCTTTGATCCAGTTTCGTCCTCATTTGATGTTGCTTTATTTCTCAGCATAAATTCATTTGATGGGATTTTTTTTGGTATTTGTTTTGAATGGTTTTAACTTATCAGCATTCACTCACCACATGCAGAAATGGAGTATACATTTATTAGTCGAAATACTCTTGACCAAATAATGCAGAAATATATAAATAACCTTCATAAATAAATTAAAAATATTTGTTTTAGACTAATAATCATTAAGATAATTAGTTTAAAATATTAAACTATAAAATTTTTGTTTTTGT